ATTTGTTAAATTACAATAACTGGAATAACTAATAATTATATTTGAAATAATTTCACGTGATATCAACCATTTATTCATTTATAAATAACACATATTTCCATTCATAAAATATCGAGGCATGATATGCTCTCTTTATTTCAGTCAGGGACAGTCATCGTTCGTATTCTCAAAGCAACGACGTTGTTTCGAGGTGGCTGAACGATCTAAAAGGGATTCTCAAAGGGCAGGAGATTGAAATGTCCTGCAAACGAAACTTGCAGTCGATCTTTGTGGATCTCTGGCCGTCTTTGTCCGTGAAAGTGTGCACACTGGACTTGTGAAACCGCCTCCAATTGTCCTTTGACTATGTACTATAACATGAACGTAGCCAGACTCCTCCAGATCCCAGATGCAGTTCGATTGGATTTAACCGGTCGAGTGTGATGTTATATACGATGTTATTATTTTTGGATTTCTCGTTTAAAAATAAGGAGGAATTGAATAGCTATGAAAACTATTATAAGATTTTAAATAGTGATTTTGAAAGACATTGTTGCAGCAATGAGACATTGCAATTTTTTGAAGGCAGAATTTTCTTATCATGCGATTATTGCGATTTTGAAATTTAATTTTTAGAGAATATAGTAGTGTGAGTATTTTGGTTTCTAATTAGTTCATCATAATAATCGATTCATATTAAATTAAATTTGAATATTTATAATAAATATATAATATATTTATATAATATATGATATATGATATATGATATATACATAGATATATATAGAGTAAAAGATATATATAGTAGCGTGAATATTTTAGTTTCTAATTATTTCATCATATTAATCAATTAATATTCAAATTAAATTTGAATATTTGTAATAAATATATATGTATATCATATATATATAGATATATATAGAGTAGTAAGATATATATGTAGTAGCGTGAATATTTTGGTTTCCAATTAATTCATCATATTAGATTCATATTCAAATTAAATTCGAATATTTATTATAAATATATATGTATATATTTGTGTATAGATATATATATAGAGTAGTGAGATATATATAGTAGTGTATATATATATATGTATATACACCAGCTGTCCGTTCATAACAAAAATCATTATCAATAATACATTTTGCAACAATGTGATATCTATAAAAATATTCTAATTCTATGTCATGCATCATATTTTTTTTTAGTTAGTTTTATTAATTAACTAATTTTTTATTAATTAGTTTTATTATCTTCATTTCTAGTATTTTCTCTTATATTGACTTCTTATATTAAATTCTTTCTTATATCACTTTTTTTTAGGATTCTCTAATTACATTTCTTCTAAGAATTTAACTTTTAGATTTCTTCAAAATTCAGATAAATAAAAACAAGGAATATCTTTCAGAATCTCTTCTGTTTCTTCAGGTTCTTTTAAGATTATTGAGTTTTAAAATTATGTCCCATATATACGCGAGTACGAATCTGTATTTCTTACATATTCATTGCTTCTCCTCTCTAAAAGATGATACAAAACTTTGTAACAAGAATTTAGGATTAATTCCGTTCCGTATTGTAACCGTTAAATAAAAACGAGCAAAAATCTGCAATTATCTTCCATTTTTGCTGTTCTGTTGAAAAATCAATTTTTCTATTGATCCAACATTAACTATCGAATAAAAATGGAAAAATTTAATTTCCCAACAAACAAGATATAGTTGATTGAACAAGATAAACGTTTTGCACAAAAGCAACGCATTCTTGTCAAATCAATTATATTCAATTCCGCCAAATTTATTTAAAATTTGGTTAAAAAATCTCTTGACATTATGAATGAATTATTTTCCTTCAAATATTTATCTTGTACAAGAATTTTAGAAGTATTCGATTGTATTATGATGTCGATTCAAGACAGGCGAATTGCTTTTCTTAAAGATACGTACAAATAATTCAAGTCCAAGAAATGTTCAAGAAAACATTGAAAAGAAAAGATTCGTTATCCATTCGTTGTAAAGGAGTTTCAATCGAATTCATACAAGTATTATTATTATAATAATATATATATTGTAACGATGATACGACTGCGATTTTTAACGTTTTAGGTGATTAATATAATAAATAAAATTCCATTAATCAACAAAGTAATAATAATAAATAAAATCTATTCAATATATTGATTTGTCATTGATTGACCACGGAATACGCTCTATTATGTGTAAATTCATTTCTCAAGGCAGTAAATTCCGCCTTGATTATTCCGATTTTACAAAATATAAAGTACGAAATTCCTTGACGCTTTGATAAGTCCCTCAATCATGTTTTATACCTATTTAAAATTTAGGAACTCTCTAATAGGATATTGTCTGTTTCGATATCATTGTTAAATTTTTTCTTTTCTTTGCATCCATTTAATGATTTCTTTTTCAATGCTTATTTTGTATTTGTTACATTGCTACTTTGTCAAGAATTTGTACATGAATCATACTTGGCAAGCACGATTCAAGGCTAATTATATAATATCGATTCTCCTTTTTTTTACGTTGTTCTTTGATCAAATGGCTCATTATTTTTCAATTCATTATCCTAAAGTTACATATATGACATATAGAAAAAATGGGATAAAAATTCTATATATTTTTTGCATTATTTATTTATTTATTTTACGATTATGTTACAATGCTCCAATATTAATCGTTAAATAAAAAATAAGCAAAAATTGCAATCGCATTTTGCTTGATTTTCTTTTTTTAGTCGTTGCTAATGTTAGTTTCTTCGACGTTAACCACAATTTATTTTTCTCTTTAAATTCAAAAATTTTTAATTTATCAAATATCTTTTTTTTTTTTCAATAATCATATAAGATATAATTGAGCACACATGAACACGTATACGTCTCATACGATTGTTTCACGCTTTATCAAATCATGCAATCATGTTTATCTATATCTATATATCACATCTATTTAAAAATTGGACAAAAATCCTCTAATAGAAATATTAATGATATCATTGTCATTTTCTCTTGCACTAAATGATTCTTTTTTCAACATCTATTTTGTATTTATTACATTGCTGTTTTCTTTCAAAAATCAGTAGATAATTTTCACTTTCTATTGCCCATTAAATTTCACATTTTGTTTTTCATTTTTTAAGAATCGTGTCATTCAATTTCCAAACAAACAAGTGATTCCTTTTGCCCAAAAAGAATCCTTGTGGAATCTTTTTAGATTTTCTTTGCCCAGATGTTAATAGATTTAAAAAAAAAAAAAAAATTAACATACATGAATAGAAAACTGGAAAAGATTCTGCAAGGATTTGAAGATTTTTCTTTTATTTGTTGCGTACTCGTTTCGCATTATTTCCTTCGAAAATTTATAATAACCAATACTTTACTTGGACGAAAGTCTAGAATATGAAGAATTCTAGATTATGTTATATGTCTATATCTAACTGGATAATTTCTTTCCCATTTACATTTCACACTACATTCTTGTGATGCGTCTTAGAATTGAAAGATTATTTTCTCAATTGTTACTTCATGAAAAGGAACGAGCAGGTATTCCATTTGCATTCTGCATCATTCTTTTTTTTTTTTTTTTTTTAAGATTAGTCCTGTTCAACATCGGCCATTAAGTTTTGTGTGCCTTTCTATTTTTTCTCTCTTTTTTTTTACGATTAATTGTTTTATGATAGTGAAAAGAATTGTCTCCCATTAGTCCACAGCTGCCTCTTTATTTTATTAATTTTTTTTTTTTACGATTAGTTCTGTTAAGTCACTAATTTCTAGCATTAGCCAAATAAAAATGGGTTATGTACAATTTTCTTTTCCTTTTTTTTTAATTATTTTACGATTTTAATATTTTTATTAATTTTTATTTTCATAAATTTTTATCAGCAATCTCATGTAATTTAATTCATTTTATTGATATCATTTTTTCTGCGATTAATTTTGTTATGTTATTAGTTCCATTAAATGAAAATAGAGATTGTAACTGTGTCTTGCACGATTTCATTTTTTTATTAATTTTTCATTCCTTCATTGATCTAAACTAAATTCCTTTCACAAAAGAATTCTCTGCTTTTTCAAAAAATCATACGTGGCTCAAATCTGATATTCTTCCAGCAGACTATATAATAGGTGATTCGATGATCGAAGCTTTGAAACTTCTTTCACTATTCCAAAATTTAATAGGAATAATTGTATCGTTATCATTATCAGAAATTTGGATACAAAAATATACGCACATATATACATATGTGTCAGTTGATCGTTCATGCTCATTATCGCATTCCGTAACAACGTGTTCCAACCGACGTTCCATGAATATCCGGTTAAACAATTTCAATATCGTTGCTTCGGTTAACGTTTCGTTAAATGGACAGTTTTCGGTATTAATATTTCGTATATTTCTTTTTCGCGAACAATGATTCTTCAATAAGTATTTTAACATTAATAAAATTTTAATGTTAATAAAAATTTGTCCAAAGATTGATTAATCAATTTTGGCAATAATCGTAATTTTTTTTTTAAACAAAGTTTAAATAAGAGTTGAATTTTAGAATTATTCCATTTCCTTTTTTTTTCTTTTCTTTTACTTAAAAAAAAGTTTAATCTGGAAGATACGGACCAAATGGAAACAATCGATCAAAGATCGATCGATCATTTATTTTATAAAAATTATTTAATCATCATCAATCATCTTCACAAAATAGAATAATATATTATAATATTAAATTAATATTTAACAATAATATGTTTAAAAAAAGATTCTTTCGTTAATTTTTTAACGTCAATCATAATAAAATAATAATTATACAGAATTGTTCAATTTCAATTATATAAATGATTCTTCAATAAAGTATGAGAATTATAATTTATATTTGTTTGTACGAAAGATCATACATAAAAATTGACCAATGAACAAATCATCAATTTATAATATTCAAATACATATGATATGATATTGATACGAATAAAATATCGAGATATATTCATACAAAATCATTGAATCTCTTACCGAAAACGCTTTCAGGAACACCAGACACTGTATGATGCCCTCCATCGTGTCCCCCGTTAAGCAAAACGTGCCAGTCAGGTGACGGCCTTTACGTCCGATCACAGAGCAAAGGTTGGCCTGGACGAAGGCGTTCTGTGACCGCGTGGCTGCCGTCAGGGCTGGCTGGTGCGATCCGGAGCTTATCAACCGCTCCAGCGAGTCCATCTCTCCTCTTCGTGATCCTGTATATCGTGTCCCTCTGTTCAAGACCCAATGTTCAACGAGCTAGTCTCAGCCTCAAACTCCAGGCCTTCAATGAGAAGACACTGTATCCAATTGTTCTTCTTTTAACATGTAACTAGTACACTCAAAACTGTACATATATTGTCGATACAGTTCGATATGACAACTCGAATGTAGGGGAATCGATCTCTGCCATTCTCTGGGAAAAAGAAATAGATACGTGAATGCCAGACAACTCGATCTGTCATTCTTTGGGAAAAAGTAATTGTTGCGTGAATGTCAAACAACTCGAGTACAACTCGAGTCGTTCTGCCATTCTCTGGATGGAAAAGTGGATGGACAATCAATACGAACGTCGAGTACGATTGAACTGTTCTTTCTTTTGTCTGGGAAAAGTAGCAATACGTCAAACAACTGAAGTATTAATCGAATCGGTGTTTCATTGTCTGGGATAAATGGCGATACGTCAATGTCATACAACCGAATTGTTGTTTCATTGCTTGGGAAAAGTAGCTATATACGTCAAATAAAAACTGTCTTACTAAAAACTGAACTGTTACTTTACTATCTGAAAAACAGCAGGACGTCGTACAATTGAATTCTTCTTTTATTGTCTAGGAAAATAACTTTATGTCAAACGACTCGAATACAATTGAAGTATTGTTGGGAAATATTGTTCGGGAAAAATAGCAAAGACGTCGTATAATTGAATATTGGAAATGTCGTCTAGGAAAAATGGCGATGCGTCAAACAAAACAACTCGAATACAATCGAACTTATTTCGTTGTTTGGAGAAATAGCAGGATGTGAAATAACTCGAGCACAATTGTTATTTAATCGTCCAGCAAAAATAACAGAACGTTGTAATAATTGAATTTTTGTTTTATTGTCTTGGACAAGGAGGATGTCAATGTCAATACAACTTGAATACAATCGTTGTTTCGTTGTCTGGGAAAAGTAGCTCTACGTCAAACAATAACGAGTACAACTGAATTTGTTGTTTTATTGTTTGAGGAAAAAATAATGGCAATAGGTCAAAACGAAAAAAAAAAAAAATATTAATTGAAATATTCTGTCATTTTGGGGTAAAATAGCAAAAAAAAAAAATCACACATTGCGAATGTTGTTTTTACTAATATATCGAGTTTCATGATCCCGATCACAAATTATTCGCAAACTTGAATCGACAAAAATCGTTCTTGTAATTTCGTCTTATTCTCGTATATATTCATCCAATTCTCGAATATATAGTCGATACGTTTCATTTTTTTCTCGCACGACAGTTTACAGCCGACTGTACCTATTCCACTTTGGTAGAAATTTCTTCGAAAATTCGATCCTCGAAGACAGGCAGTGAAACGGCGATTTTCCATCGGCCGACTTAATTCAAATTCTCACAGCATTTAACAATTTAACATGCGTAGGAGTGAACAGTGTAGGCTTTGTCGATTCGTCAAAAAACACTTTTCAGGGGAGAACGTTCGTTGTCCACGCATTTTTAACAACAGCGATTTCTGTCGCTTTAGCTAGCCATTAAATCGTGATCGATAAATCGGAGATTTCATCTATCAACAGCGCAATAATAGACGATCCACGTGTCTATTCCCGTATCGATTGATGGCGGAATAATACGCTCCATCATCATGTGCAAATGCATTTGTCAAGGCGGCATGGATTCCGCCTCGATTAGCCCCGTCCTCCAAGAGTGTCGTTTTGACAAGTCGACGCGATCATATTCAGATCTACATCTTTTACTTCATTTAAAATTCGAAGGGCAAGAACCCTCTAACAAAAATGTTTAACATTATTATTATTTTCTGTTCCGTTTTTTAAATGATCTTAAACACTTGCTGTCTTTTCCAAGAGTTAGTTAACTTGTGACGTTTGGCAAGTACAAAGAACTCTTGCGATGTCGATTCGAGACAGGCAAACAATATTTTTCCTCCACTTCGAGCGGCTCGGATAAAATCACACGTGTGAATAGTTCATGTGTAAAGGATAAACATTCTATATCTTGCATTATTATCCTTTCCTTTTTTTCTTTTTTTCCTTTTTTTTCTTTTAAGATTAGTTCTGTCACGATGTCCGAACATTAGCCACCGAATAAGAATAGAAAACTATCATATCTTTATTTCGCTTTTATCACTTTCACAATTTTGTATTTATTATAACTTCCTCGATACTAACCACTAAAAAATTCCACAATTTTCTCTCCCCTTTTTTTCAGAAATCGTATAATTGATGATACCCATATGTATAGACTTCTTTGAAAGTTTCTTCGAAAATCACACGTGTAGACTGCAACGTAGTCTCTAAACAACAACAGTCAAAGAACAAAGAAATGACTCACTTTTCACGAGAGAGAGAGAGAGTGAAACAATTGCACGAGGAACGTGGCTTTTTAGAATTTCTTCGAAATTCAGATAAACAAAACTGTTGCTCTGTTCCGATTTCCTCGCAATTGTTGACCGATACCTTCAAAACCTGTCATATAAGTAGGAAGGTGAAAGAAGATGCGAAGCTTACTGAGGGCAACAAGCTGGCCGGCTCTGCATCCTGTGAGAAATCGAAAATATACGTTGTGTGCGAGTTGAAGCTTGAAACGAGCGTCTAGGCTCGGCGGTTTGCGGTGTGGCGTAACGTCTGATCAAATCGCACATCTCGTAGCATAGGAAGCAGATACCTATTATCATGAACGTTTCCATTGTATCGATTACCGTTTCCTCCGAGACACGGAACAGATTAGTCCACTGGGAATGGAAATGCCGTTATGTCCATCTAACGATATTATCCCCTATGTTTCTCCTTTCTATGTATCCTGTTATTTTATACTATTTCTCGTTGTGCTTCATTGCATCATGCATCGATGAATTTCTCATTGTAAAAAACGATGAAGGAATAAGTTCTTGTCAATTGAGCTTTTCGTAAGATTTCCACTTGAAAAGCTTAAGATCTTCTAGAAAATGTGATACTTTAGCTTCTACTTCTTCAATGGCATCTCTTAGTCGTGCTTAGAGCAAGGAATAGATATGTTCTTCTCTTTATATCCTTTTATTCTGTAGTGTTGCATTTCATTTTTTTTCCATTATCAATGAAATTAAAATAAGGGAAATAATTGTTTCCCGCCTGCAACTTTTCGTTGCAAAAAACAAATACGAAAATGTGATTCTCTTTACGCTGCTCTCTTTAAGAGCAACTTTGTCTCACTCGTGACAAAGTTAGAACAAGGGATAAACGTTCTTGCCTATATCATCCTGTTTTATCCTGTTACAAAGCAACATTTCCTCTTTCTTGAATTACCACCAATACCAAAGTATATGAGAACTCTCTCTCCTCGATTCAATTCCGCTCGAAACCATGTGGTCGCCTCTTAAAACGACGTAATCCAACGGCGTACCACTTATCTCGCGACGATCTTGGAAGAATGGAAAGATCTCTCCTCTTATTTCCGTACAAGCGTGGTAGCCATCCAACATCAACATTCGTCAACGAGAGCGGAACAACAACACAGCGTTACACGATGACTGTAGTCTAATCCTGCTAGGGTTAAGCAACGCACCAGACCTTCGCTCTCATCGAAAGCGCACCACCTCCAACTAGGATCGGGCAACGCGTGTCCCCGTCACACGCGAATCTAGTGGAGAGGGAGCCACGTAGGGGTGGCGTGGATAGCGGAGAAGCAAAACACGTACCATGTGGGTTTTACTCGAGGAGCGTGAAAGATCGTTGCGCGTCCTTAATCCCAACGATTAAGCTTTTCGTACCTTGGTTTCTTTCTCCTCCCGTGCTTTCAATCACCGTACACTTCTGTCGCACCACCGTTGCCACGTTCTTCCTTCCCCGTGTTTACCCGCGGACACGCGCCGACGAATCACCGCCGCGGATATGCTCCGCGCGCTCGAACTGGGTCACCGACACGCACAGATGTTAAACGCGATGCAACGTCGGATGGAGCGTGAGGATGGGCGAGCGACAGAGGCACGGCAATATCGGCAGCCTCGCAACGGGCCAGCGTATGACTACTAACCAGATACTCTCGCGGCGCGAGGGTGCGCCTTTGCGAGGGTGGGCGGGTGGAAGCGAGGTGGATGCTGGGCGACGGCGCGGCCCGCGGCGCCACCCCCTCTGCTCTCGCAAAATCCACTCCCTCTCCGCTCCTCTTCCCCTCTCCTCGTCCATTCTCTTCCTCCCCTGGGATGCTCTTCCCTCCCTCTTCCCTCTCTCGCTTTTTGTCTCCTTTGTCCTACTCCGCTTTCCACTTCTCGACAAGTTTTTGTCTCTTTCCTCCTCCTCCCTTCTTTTTTTTACAACGGCTGTTCTGCCTTCCCTCTGTGTCTTTATCTATCTTTCGGTCGAATGTAGCGCGTCCTTTTTTTTCTCTCTGCTCGCACTATGTTCTAAATTTTGTGACTTTGCACGCGACTCGTGGACGAGTGGTACGCTCGATCTGTCGGAGAGAAGGCGCTCCACGCTCTCGAGGGGAATTAATATCGTCGGTGGTTAGACGTGTACTAGGCTGCTGTCGTAACGATGTTTGGCTGGAAAGTTGCGTAACGGAATCTTTATGGCTGGTCAGACGAATTTTGGAGAGAGAGAGAGAGAGGGAGGATAGTTTTTAGTAGATTTGGTTTTTAATGGTTTTGTTGTATTCTTTGATTTATAATATAATCTTCATTTCGTACCTCCAATTTTCCAAGCAAAAGTCGATGATTTATGAAATTTGTAAAGTCAGTTCTTAATTTTCACGGTCGGAGTTAAATAAATTAGTACGTACGAATTGAATACCAAATATAAATGATAATAATATATGTTATAAAGAAAAAATTTAAATTTACAATTTATATATCCAAAATGTCTAAATTCTTTGATAAAGATATCATAAGGAATAAAATAATTTCTTAATGTAATGTTACAGCAGTGTATAAGTCATTTAAATATTACCATAAATTGAATTTGAAAATCAAATTTAATTTCCAATTTATATAATTTTTCTTTTCTGTACTTTTCGATATCTTTACATACATTTTTTGAATAGGAATTAAAATTCCATAATGACGAAATTATACGAGTAGCTTGAATAATATTTTGTTTTTTTCTACTCTTTCTACTCTCAATCGATGTTAAAGAACAAAAGCTACGTTTTTCGTGGACACTAGAAGTGTATTTTATATATAAAATGGCGAACCTTATAGCATAGAACGTGGTACTATAAAATACGTGCTCACGATTGATCGTGATCTCGATGCTGCCTAACAATTCTTGCTGACGTACACTGCACTACTTTTTTTTTTTTTTTTTACATTTGCTACGCTTCCCGAGAACTGAATGCGATCTTGCTGACGTTGGTATTGACGGTGTTATTGAACAGGATCCTTGTTCCTGGCTTGTTCTCGCCGATATTTTTCGATGTTTAAATTCTTTTTTCACTAATTGATTAATACTTACTATTCATAATTTTCAAATTTAATAAAAAAAAAAATTTATTTGAATTTTTTAGAATTTCATCGGTATTCGATGTATATTCACCGCTGATTAAATGATCGAGCACATTTTTAATTAATATTTCGGCTTAATAGTCGATATTTTTGTTCAAATTCATGCTACTTTTTTTCTGCCATTTTAATTACACTTTCCTCAAAATTTTTATCATTTCGATATATCAATACTTCAAACATATATTCATAATATATTTCGAAGGATTTCTTTGAAATTCTCTGCTGAAAATTTTATCACGATTTTTATCGTATTCAAGTAGAAACTTAATATTCTACGAGACGTTACTAATTATTTTAATTCAATTATCAATCGATATTTATTTTTCAAATATCATATATTTCCAAGGATTGCTTTGATGTCTTCTGTCAATAATTTAAATTTTATCTACGATCTTTGTATCACATTCGAGTAGAAATTTAACATCACATGAAATATTATTAATTTAATTATTACTATTTCGGCCGCATATTTTTGTCGCAGCACGTTTTTTTAACATATAATAAAAAATATATTCACAATTTTTTTTTTATTTATAATACACTCGATAAAGTTGAAGAAAATTCGATCATATTTTTTTCAAAAACACCATTTTCGAATTTATAAATAGAATTATGAATAATAAATTTCTGAATGCATACATTAGGATCACTAGCACGGATAATAAATTTATGGGAATACTTATCGATTTAACAGATATCTATACTTATTATGCGCATGAATAACTATATGCAATATTTTGTAATACTGATATAATATTGGTTTGCAATATTGTTGCATTTCAAACACGTATACCAGGTTCTCTCCTATGGGTATTAAATATTTCGAAACGCGGTATTAAATTTTGTGATACGCGTTAAATTCACGAAAATGTGTATAATTTATTTGCGAATTTTTCCACATTTTGTAAAACAATGAAAAAAATTTTAACTATCGATGATTTCTTGTATTTCCTTGCGGATCAAAGAGAAGAAAAAGGAAGATGGAAGAAAAATGGTTAAAATGGATTAAAATGAGTAAAAATCGGAAAGAACGAAACGGGATTCGTAGACAAAGGACAAAAAAAATAGTACAGTTTTCTTTTTGGCTAGGCATAAACATGAAAAAGGGAAAGATCTCGAAGAGCCATGAAACGTGGATAAAAATGTAGAGAAGTGATATGTAAATAAAATAAAAAGATAAAAAAAATGAAGTTTAGAATTTTCAATAATTTTCAACTTCGTTCGAAAAGTTTCAGAATTTTTTTTTCTTCCAAAATGAAAAGACATATTTAATGTTTCATAAAAAAATAGAAAAAAAAAAAAATAGAGAACTATATTGAGATGCAGAGAAATTTCAAATAAGATTTCTTAAGTTGGTAGGAATATCGATTCGGTGTATCGAAAATCGAAGATTTTTACTTTAATATAATATTTTCACAAACTACATCCTCGCCTATTTTCTATTCCACTCGAACCGAAGGAAACTTTACTGCATCCCCAGTTCACCACAACTTCTTACTTTTTCATTTAAGGGAGAGTAAAAGTATACTCGGCACGTCCCAGTTTCATAGAACAAACATTCGCGGCGCCACGCAGCATCGTGAATAAACGTTTGCCAATTATTTTTTGCATTACTTAGCTCTCACTATTACGTACCTTAGTATTAATAAAGTATCAACCAAAGTGGAAAGTCCTGTAACGATAAGTAGACGATGTTGTAAAGTTACGCGGCAACTAGAAAGTTGTATAACGAACGTCTTAAACTTGCAAACAACAACGATTTTATCGTTTATCTCGTTTTCGAGATTTTTCTTTATTATAGCTCGTGTTTTGCTGCATTTTTTTGTTGAAGAAATTTCATAGAAATGTAGAATAAATGATACGTAAAAAAAAATAATTTAACGAAAGTTTAAAGTTTATATTGTAATATTATAAAAGAGACTTACAAAAAAATCTTCACGGTGTTTTGCATAAAATAAAGAAATAAATTTAAATAAAGAAAAAAAATAATTAGTAGATCGAAGATCTTCGATATTAATATTATATATATATATATAATATATTATAATATAAACTTTAATTTGTCGTTAAATTATTTTTTTATTAAAAAAAATTATAGAAAAGGAGGGTGATATAATGTAAATAAATAAAATCTTTTAATTCAACAATGCATAACATCTCCATCTATTTAATTTGAACGAATCTATCTTTTCTTTTTGAATTTATATAAGTAAAATTTTTCAAATTTAAATCTCAATCTTGAATTAAATTTAAATCTTAAATTTCATAATCATAATCACAAGAACTGAATTCTCGTTTTTAAAAATCCAATTAAAAAATTTTATTATTATTACCACTATCTGTGTGCAAGTAAATTCAAGAATCAAAAGTTCCAGTTTTCCCCTAGCACACAAAAATTAATTCCTTCGCATGGGATCAATCACGAATTCTTCGTGAATCATATTTATGAAAATCAATTTTTTTAATAAATAATTTTTAATTGTAATAAATTTTATGATCTATTATATCTCGTTATTATCGATACGAAAATTAATTTTGTCGCATGACAGCGAATCTTAGATTCTTTAAAATTATTTCATAACTTATAAGGCGGTTTGGGAAACGACTAAATTTTCGATAAAAAGGAGGATATCGATTTTTCGATTGAGTTTATGTTTCTAATATGAGAGAAAACGCAAAAGATTCGATTTATTTCTCTTTACTTTAAAACGATATTAATTATAATGTTCTAGCATTGGTAATTTGACTATATAATTTAAAGAAAAATGATTTACTTTTCCTGTAGTTTCTTTTCTTTCATGATCTGGGACCGAGATTTTTTTATATGAAAAAAAAAAGAAAGATTTAATTTATCTTATTTATATATGTTATTTATGTTATTTATATATTTTATATGAACATTTATATATTATATTATATTATATGTCTTATTTTTAAGCAATATTGATTATACTGTTCTCATGGAATTTCATTGATAATTTGATGTGTAATTTAGAGAATATGATTTTTCTATCTCTGTTGTCATCTTTTCTTTATGATCTGGGACCGAGTTTTTTTTAAAACGCGAAAAAAAGGAGAGATTCGATTTACTTTTTTTGTTATCTTTATTCGTCTTATTTTTAAACAATATTAATTATACTGTTCTCATGGAATTTCATTGATAATTTGATGTGTAATTAGAAAGTATGATTTTTCTCTTCTGTTGTCATCTTTTCCTTTATGATCTGGGACCGAGTTTTTTTAAAACGCGAGAAAAGGAGAGATTTGATTTACTTTTTTTTCTTTATCTTTATTCGTCTTATTTTTAACAATGTTGATTAATTTAAACAATGTTGATTATACTGTTCTCATGGAATTTCATTGATAATTTAGTGTGTAATTTAGAGAGTATGATTTTTCTCTCTCTGTTGCCATCTTTTCTTTTATGATCTGGGACCGAGTTTTTTTTAAAACGCGAAAAAAAAAGAGAGATTCAATTTATTTTTCCTTTATTTTACCTTTATCTTTATTCCCTTTATTCTTAAACGATATTGATTATACTGTTCTCATGAAATATATGATTTGATATATAATTTGGAGAATATGATTTGCTTTTTCCGTGATTTCTTTTCGTTGAGGATCTGAGACCTTAATTTTTTTTTTTTCTTTTTCACGCGAAGAAATGAAAGATTCGATTCACTTCGTTATTCGTCTCATTCTTAAACGATATTATTTTCGCGGAACTGCACTGATAATTTGATATATAATTTGGAGAGTTTTTTCTTCGATGATCAGTGATGATGAACGATGATTTTCTTCGATGGAGAGGGTAATTACGTGTGATTTGTTTTTTGGATAAAAATATGAAGGAAGGACTTATACATATTTTTATCTTTATTTTTAAACGATATCGATTATACTGTTCTCATGAAAATTCTTTTACATATATAAATTTTTTTCTGATCTTTCTTATGTTATCACTATAATGGTAATAATCTTGCAGATCTAACAAATCCATTATTACATCGCTGTGAATTGTTTCATAACTAATCAGGCGGTTTGCAAAATAATTCTTAACAAGAAGGATGTCTCTTTTTTTTTACTAATATGGGGAAGGAAAAGATTCGATTTATTTGTTTTTAATCTTTTATTATTTAATTTTTATATTTTATTATTTTTTTTTTGTTTACTGTTGTAATTTAGAGAATCAATTTTTTTATTGTGTCATCTTTTTTAAATCACTTTGATTATTGATTACTATTCTTCTACATTGGCAATTTTTTTTTTGTTTACTGCTGTAATTTAGAGAATCAATTTTGCTTTTCTTATTGTGTTACCTTTTTTAAATCATTATTGATTACTATTGTTCTGCATTGGCAATTTTTTTTTGTTTACTGCTGTAATTTAGAGAATCAATTTTGCTTTTCTTATTGTGTCACCTTTTTTAAATCATTATTGATTACTATTGTTCTGCATTGGCAATTCTTTTTTGTTTGGTGCTGTAATTTAGAGAATCAATTTTACTTTTCTTATTGTGTCATCTTTTTTAAATCATTATTGATTATTATTCTTCTGCATTGGCAATTCTTTTTTGTTTGGTGCTGTAATTTAGAGAATCAATTTTGCTTTTCTTATTGTGTCATCTTTTTCACCGGTTCTACAACCGAGTGTTTTGCAAGCATATCTTTCCTTATATATAAACATTTGTACTTTCAAGTATATATTCTTTATTGATATGATTTAATTTTGACATCTTTGGTCATGAATATGAAAATTGATTTCTAAATGATACTGGATTTGCATATGGACTGGAACGACACAGAAATTTAAGGGATGTTTACATAATCAAAGAATTAGAATGTTGCACAAATAGATAATTCAATAAGATTGAATAAAAGGAAATTCAATTTTTTCTTCAAATATCAAGCAATATTGATCATACTGTTCTTACAAAACGATTAACAACAACATTGGCAACATTTTAATTAATTTTAAGCATGGTATCGATTTATTTCAAAGAAGGGGATTTATAAAGTAAATCTACTATAATTTTACCATGATCTAAGTTTGTTATCATGTCAAAAGAAGGTTTCACTATTCTTCAAGCATTCAAAATATTCTCATAAATACTGATTTCACCAATACATTCTTGAGCTGTAATTCGCGATCATTTGAAGAGGAGATTTCACTATTCTTTAAGTATTCAAAATAATTTCATAAATACTGATTTCACTGATACACTCTTGTGCTATACTTTGCGATCATTTGAGGAGGAGGGGTTTTTAGTGGGTAGTCACTCTAAACTTTGACAGTCCCACATAATCCATCGGTACGGGCCGATGGGTATGCATAAAGCATTTTCCCCTTCTCACGAAGAAAAAAAAAAAAAAAAAAAAAAATCATAATCTGTTACCTTAAAATTCTACTCTAAAAGTATCTTTCTTTCTATATATTTAAAGAACTCGAATCTGAATATTCCAATCCACTTATTTTTACGTATTATATTTCATCGTTATTCACATTATCTGAAACAATAACAAGGAACAGTCCAATAAACAGAAGGCTAATTTTCAACAGATCGTGATCAGTCAGTCGATTAAGATTCAAGATTTACATTGGCGCACGAACAGTTTCCATCGTGTTTTACACGAGTTTAATTGCACCTTAATGAACTAGCAAGTCACCGAGAAAACTTCTCTTCCCCAACTTTCTCCATCTCTCTCTCTCTCTCTTTCTCAATGTGCCTGTATCAGCGAGTCGTTTCGAAGATTAAGACGACCTTTGCCCTCGAACGCAGGGCAAACACCGTGAAACACGACAGAAAGAGCTGTGCGTCACACGGTCAACATTACTCACAGAGATCTAATTTCGTGAGTGGTTCTGGTCGGTATAATTGAGAACAAGCCGGAGCAAGAGCGATCGTACTTCGACCGTACTTCATCGAGTTTTCCTTTTCAATTATCCTAATGGCCTACGGATTTTTCCCTTCCCGGAACTACGTCGACTACGTGAAACAATTCGTGAGACATTGGGACAGATCCGTGAATTAATTCCGTATTGTGTCGATCGATGAATCGATTGGTCGAGGGGAAATCGATGGAAACGTTGGAAGAGACTGACAGGTTCGGTGTCTGTGATTGATTTATGAATAAAGTGGAATTTTATTTTTGTCCGAAAAACGAAGCAAGATATAGTTTAGTGCGTTTGATATGAATTTAATTGAGATAAAATATGAATTTATTGAGATCGTTTTTTGATGAAACTTTGAAATATTAGTAGTTTGAAAAAGAAATTATTCGATATATATTTTTTTTAATGAGGATCCTACATTTAAAAGATCGTCAAAGTTATAAATAAAAAAATATGCTTTGTGAATTAACAAAGTGCTTCGCTTGATTAAAAAAAAAAAAACAATTTTTTAATATCAACAACAAGTATGTAAATTTTTTAATTCTTTTTATAACATGCTTGAAATTTCTCTTTTGAATTTTACACAGAAGATTTTTTTTTCATAAATCTCTTTATTTATCTCTTCTTATAAATTTAATCTATTCGCGAGAAAAAAAGTTTCAAAAGATTTATATATTATATTAAATTTCGTAAACTTATAATAGATAAAATTTTTACTAATGGAAAAGATACAAATAATAATCCTCAAAAAAAAAAAATATAACAACGAAATATATAAATCTCACAATTATGAATAAGAATACTTGATACTGGATTAAAAATAGAAAGAAAAATACGTGGATTAAATTACCCTACTATTTTAGGCTTTTTTGTGTACAAAATGTAGGACACGAGGGAAAAAGCACTTTGCCGGACTTAGTTAGGTTAGGTCCCACTCCATTAAAATCCAAGGTATCATACATTTTCCCTTTAACAACGAAATTCAAACGATGTTTCACATTCTGCACATTTTCCCCGAAGCAAAAAATCGTCGAAGAAAAAAAAAAGAGAAAGAAAGACACTTTGCAGTACCTTTCACGATTTTAAATCAAATCTTCTAAAAAAAGATGAAAAGTACACGCCGTGTACTTTCAAATTCTGTTAATCGGCGATTAATTTCCATTTTTCCGTTCTATGTGGGCGAAAAATGCACGATTGTCGTGAGGAAACGAAGTAATATAAAAAAACGTAGAACATTCTGTTTCGTTATTCCATTATTCTACTTGAGATACAACGAATACTTGGGGATACGTCGAAAGAATTTCCAGCAATCTTATATATTATTTGAAGGAAAATCCGCTTTGTTCATGATAAAAAATCGTCACGTATCGTATTAGCAGAATTCCATTTGTATTCTGTCACATTTCTCGCATTCGCTTTTTCTTTCATCCGTAAATCGTACTATCTTGCTCATACATTATCGCGAAATCTTTGTGCATCGGTATTAACCGTCTACTTTGATTCTCGCTGACGTTACAAGAAGGGAAACGTTATTGGAAAATTACAAATAAAATAATTGTATCGTTAACGAAGAAAAATGATGGAAAAAAATAGATAAATAGACAGATAAAAAATTTTATCGTTGTATTTCATTACTGATGAAATAAGCAATTATTTGGTTTAAAATAAAATTCTCTCGATCCTATTTATTATATATATATAAAAATTCTCAAAATAAACATTTATTTCTCGATCAATCTTCGAAATATCTTCCCAAGTCACGCAGCCATAACATCACGCGAAACAACATCCTATGCGCACGATATCCACCTTGAGACGTTGTGACGTGCACATGCATAAGGATTCCGTCTTGGGTTCGAATTACAATAAGCTCGAGATAATTACAGGTAG